ATTACTAGGATCTACATATAACCTCCTCCCTGAGGGAGGCAGAGAAATGGGTGAAGGGAGATGTCGGACAGTGTAAGATGTGACAAAATAATAATGATTTATAAATTATCAAGGGTTCATGAGGAGGGGGGCGGGAAGGAAGGGGGGGAAATGAGGAGCTGATATCAAGGGCTCAAGTAGAAAGCAAATATTTCTAGAATGACGATGGAAACAATTGTACAAATGTGCTTGACACAATAGATGTATGCATGGATTGTGATAAGAGTTGTATGAGCCCCCAATAAAATGATTTTTTTAAAGAGCTTTATATCAAAAAGTAATTGTATATTAAGAAAACATCCCAGCCCAGTCCAGATCAAGCCCGTTATTAGCCCATATTATTAGGCAAAAATTAGCCCATAATATTATCCCATAGTAAGTCTGATATTAGCCCATAAGTCCAATACTAGTCCATAAATCCTTGTTCAGACCCACTCAGTCACATGCAATGTTGCAAAATGCAGGAAGATCACAGACCAGTGGGCGCAAAGTCTTGTGGATCCAGTGACTGTGGAAGCATCTCAGCACTGGCAGGGTCTCTACGTGGCTCCTCCAACTTTCTGAGTTTGGCTCCTCAACAGGAAGGTGAATCAGAGAAAGCAAAAGTTCCCAGAATCCTCATGAGAAGGCCATGCCCACAAGGAGGCAACATCAGGCTGTGATCCGATTGACAAACTAGACTCCACCCCTACACTTATTTATCAAGTTGATATGAAATTATATAACTACCACATCATCTTTGCTTCTAAGGAGCTTTCTGAGTGTACCTGTTCCAGGACAGATTTGTTTATTCTTTTGATTGTATCTGCTGATATTGAGCTTCATCTTCTCTTCCCATAGATGTAGTCCATTTAATTTCTGTATAATCCATCTGAAGAAATCCATGTGTATAATTTCCACTTGTGTTGTTGAAAAAATGTATTTGCTGTGAACAAGTTGTTAGTCATGCAAAATTCTGTCACATGATCTCCAGTTTCATTTCTATCACAAAGACCATATTTTCTTGTTTTGCCACAGAGTTATCTTTATTGACGTATATGAACAGCAGATGCACAGTTCACAACAACCAAAAACCACACACAAACAAAAATGGTCCCATTTTTTAAAAATAACTGTTTGGAAACTTCATTTACCAAGAAAAAATTCTGAAAGGCTATACTACAAGGTTTTGCAAGTAGTTATCTCTGAAAAAGAGGATCTAAATATTTTTGTTTTCTATTTTTTTATCCCTAGACCAGCACATATTTATAATTCCTTTTACTTGTCAAGCCAATGTGATTTAGGGGAGAAATAAAGAGGTAAGCCTGTTTAATTGAACAATCTTGAACTGGAAGTCTTTTTTTTTAATAGGAAAGATGGTTGCAGTATTTAACTATTTTGAAAACAAAATTTGATATTAGGTATTCATTTTTCAGTGCGTACCAAAGATTATGAAGCTTTCATTTTCTTTGCTACTCGGGATCGTATCATGATTTTGTACCATTTCGTATGAGTATTTCTTCTGTGAAGCAAAAACAGTCCCAAAATGAAGGATCTTCAGGTGTCATAGGAATAGCAGGGGCTATCAAATCATTGAAGGTCAGAATCTTAAACTGCTTCTCGGTAGGTTTAGCACCATCTTGAGATGGAGCATCCTGATGTTTAGCTCCATCGGGTTTCTTAAGAGCTACTGCGACAAAATGATGCTCATCAATTTTGCTTCCCTCAAATACCCATTCTTTTTCTTCCTTCCCATCTAGGAATAAACGAGTTTCTCTATAAACTTGGCCTATCCAAGTTTAATGGGGATATATCAAATTCGAGTCGTTGTAATTCAAATCCTAGTCCAATACCAATGGCTTTTATAAAGCTTTCTTTCAATGCCCAATTTCTATAAAACATATCCAGTTGAGTCCATTTGTCCGTAAAGCTTTTGATGGTCTCCCACTCCTTGTTTGTGAATTTTCCTTTCATAATATGGAAAACTCTGGAATTGAACCGTGACCTGGAAAGCTCGTCCTCATAATATCAATTCCAACTTGCAGCTCAGGTTCAGAAGCAAGTACCGCGAAGTCCCCTTGATGAGAAATGTTAAAGTTGAAATTGGGATAAGGATTCGATGAGTCCTTTGCAAGAACTGGTTTTCCTTTTGCAGTTCTTTGCAAACGAATATTATTCCAAGGGATATTCAATTTCTCTGCTACCAATTTCCTTATCATCAGACGACCAGGCATGGCTGCCTTTGCGTCCCGGGCAAAGACGAACTGCCCAATACGCTCCTTCTCCTCGGGCTGGATCGATCGCACCGTCAGCAGCCACTCGGCTCTGCTCGGCAGCCAAGTGCCGCAGGAAAAGGCCCAGCGCACGCCCTCCATGGCTGGCACTAAGCAGACCCTCTTGGCAGGGAGCGGGTAAACCATCCACTGAAAGCGGACCTCACTGCCACCTCCGGGAAGAGATGGCGTGGATGTTAGCGCGGCCCCACAAAGACCATATTTTCAAAGTATTATTCCTTCTTCTTTGTTTCCAACTTTTTCATTCCAACTGCCAATAATTATCAATGCATCTTGGTTACATGCTTGATCAATTCCTGAAAGAAGGCACTGATAAAATTCTTGAATTTCTGTATCACTAGCTTTAGTGGTTGGTGCATAAATTTGAATAATAGGTGTACTGCTTGGATTACCTTGTATGCAGATACACATTATCCTGTCTCACACAGCACTGTATTGTAAGATAGCTCCTGAAATGTCCTTTTTAATAATGATCAACGCAACTTCTCTTGATTGTGTCATTCCCAGCATGGTAAACCAGATAATGCTCTGGTTCAAAATAGCCAATACTAGTCCATTTCAGCCCATTAGACCTAGAATATCGATCTCCGAACTCACCAGCCTGTGATCTCCTTGCTTCCTGCTTCATCTTTCTATATCGCTGACCTGCAGCTACGTGAGTCTGAAAGAGGGCTTAGACTTGGACCCGTGGGCTTGATTTAGACTGGGCAGAGATGCCTTCTTGATATAAAATTACTTCTTAATATGAGTCCTTTTCTTATACATATATGAATGTCACTAGTCTTATTTCTCTAGACAACCCAGTCTAACACACACACTGTCTTCTCCTGGGAACTTAGGAATCATCAAGTTTATCCCCTAATTTCAAGAACAACACAACAAAAAACAAGATTCAAAAAGGGAATTAACTTTTCCAAAGCCAAGCATCTAGTATGATTTTTAAATGCTGAAACTGGAATTCAAGTTTTATTTACATTTTAATGTCATTAACTTTTCACATTCTTTTTAAGGTCTCCAAAAAAGTCACTGTTGCCAAGTCCAGTAGAAACTTCTCCATCTAACGAGATCTCTTGGGAGCACTTTAAACAATTGTTCACTTTTCTCTCATTGAATTATCTTGAACTCCTGGTATTGATGGCACCACACTCTCACAGTTTTCCTTTGAGAAAAAGAAAGAAGGCCTCTACCATCCAATAGCTAGCCTGGTATATTGAAAACTGGACCTTGGGGTTGCTAGGTGCTGACCTGGCACTGAGGTAGGTCATGATTTTTTTCCTTCTAAATATCAGCAATTGCACAAAACATCAGAATTAGTCAGAGTCACTGTCTGACTAGTAAGGATCAGTACAAAGTAACATGTCATCATAGTCTTCTTTGAACATAGTCATAAACATGCACATCTCTCAAAACACAACATTCCAAACATATCCCTTTTTTTGGCTAAAATGATTGACTGATTCTGCTTGGCCAATTACAAATTTAGCTTCACTCTTGTCTTCGCTTCTAAAGACACATCAAGATACTGAACTATGCAATTAACCCCTTAAACCACAGCAAATCACATCCATCTCTACTTCCCCAATACAAACCCAAGACCTATATGTGATGCTTTATGACACTTTCTGGTTCAGACCCTCCTGGTTCCCCAAGGCACGGATACTCTCTTGCTAAAACAAGTAATAAACCCAAGTTGGTTCATTGTAGGGGTGTTTCTTGTTGTCTTTGGATGTGGCGACATTAACTGCCTACCTTACTGCTACTCCATTCCCCAAGCTCTTTTCTCAAACCTTCTTCTTCGTTCAGCACTCCATTTTGCTGTCTTTTCCTTTTCCTTTTCTCTCTGTCCTTTCTTTTCCTCTTCTCCTCATGTATACTTCACAGGAATTTCATCTGTTACACTTGTGAAGGCTAAGGCTGTGGATCATCTTGGCCTGGGCCATGTTTCTAGGTAGCTTGGCAATTATTATATAGTCATCCTTCATGATGAGATCTAATAAACTGTAATTACTTCCATGGTGAGATTTGCTACCAGCAGCCAACAATGGGAAGGGAATTTCCTGAACATTGTGGCCTGATGTCAACATATATGAGCATCCTAGAAATGCTTTCTGCATCCTGAATCAGGATCATCATTATCTGACCCTCAATTCTTTGAACTTGACACATAATGCCCCCTAATCCTGAGAGTTGTTAGCACTCCTCCACAGCCAGCAGCCAGCTGCCTGATCTGATGATCCTGGACTTGTCAGACCTAACTTAAGACAGTACTGTTCAAAATCAAAAAGGGGGCATGTCATACAAGAGGCATGCCAATACACTGTAATTTATCCAAGATTTCATAGAAAACAACTGGTGAACATTCATGAAAGTTTTAAATACATTATAAGAATATACACACAAAAAGGAAGGAAGCAAGCAAGCGAGCCAACGAGAGCTGACAAAACAAGAAGTAAGATGAAGTAGGATGACCACAGCTGGTGGATGCAGAGTGAATGGATCCAAGGTCAATAGGTCAGAGGTAAGGCCAGATGGCAGGCCCTGATGGCTCTGAGGGTCAACAGGCAATAAGACCGGCTGCTGGCTCAAGTTCAAAGAAGCAAGAATAGGGGGTGTTTGGGGGCAGGGGGCATGTTGACAAGGCAGATGCAGGATCTAAACCAGCAAAAGCAAAGAAGCTTTCTACAGTGTTTACATAAATATGAAGTAGATCACAAACCAAGGAAACATCATCACGTCTATGACCTGAAAAGGGTCCATCCTAATCCTCCCACAACTGCTTGGCTGCTCACAGCAGATCTCATATGGAGCTGATTACATTATATTTAACTTCATCAAGGGTGGACTTCAACTGCCAAGCTATTGAGAATCCTGGCTCAGCCAAGTGGACATAAAACCTTATGCAACTAAGTTGTACTCTAGAGCACACAGGGTCACCACATATTGGAATTGACTTTTGGCAATGGGTAGCTGACATCCATCCATTGGCCAATTAAAGCACTCATTTGTTGAAAATAAATATCATAATTTTAATTAGTATTTTTCATTTAATTAGTAAATAAAGTAATTAAATACTTCATTCATATTTTTACTACTTCTTTTTCCAGTAGAATGATTAAGAATGAAAGCAAGGTGATATTACATGAGGAGTTGCTTGCATAGGGTAGGGACTAGAGTGGAAGGCATGTACCCCTCTGCACATACACTATTGGCCAGAACTAAGTCACATGGTCCCACTGAACAGCAAAAGCTGTGCTGTCCTCCCCTGGGGCCCAGGAGGAAAATGAATCTGTTTTGGCAATCACATGTATTGTCTCTGCCATTGAGGCAATATTACTTATAAAGGCTAACTAACCTCATTATTTTGACAAGAGAATTTTATAGCATTTGATTGTAGCATTTAAGTATTGATACACTAAATAAACCATTTCAGTTTATACTCTAAGCAAATATTTTTAAATTATGATATGCTATTTCTAGGGACCCAAGGAATGATATGAAACAAACCTACTCCTCATTTATCAACTATCTCACATGTCACATTTAGGACAATAGTGAAAAATCTACTACCCAAACTATTTTGCTCATTAACAATGTACGAACGTCTGGCAGTAACAAATGCTAAGGTGTAAGACGAGAGCAATGCTGGCTGTGATGATTAAGGTGACGTGTCCACTTGGATGGACTATAATACTCTAGGGTGTGGTAGTTTTGTAAGGACATAGTCATCCTCTATTTTTACATAACAACCTGGCCTTTTAAACCTAGCCATATCATGTTGATAAACTTAGAATTAAGTCAGGAATCAGAACCCATATGTGATATGAAAAATAAGCAAATGTGGTGAAGAAAGTTGATGGTGCCCAGCTATCAAAAGATATAACATCTGGAGTCTTAAAGGCTTGAAGGTAAACAAGCAGCCATCTAGCACAGAAGCAACAAACCCCACTTGGAAGAAGTGTGATAAGGAGGTGCCGAAAAGATCAGTTATCAGGCATCAAAGAACAAAAAATCATATCATTGTGTGTTCACCTCCATGATATGATCGCTGAAGACAAATAGGTGCATAAGCAAATATGGTGAAGAAAGCTGATGGTGCCCAGCTATCAAAAGGTATAGCGTCTGGGGTCTTAAAGGCTTGAAGGTAAACAAGTGGCCATCTAGCTCAGAAGCAATAAAGCCCACATGGAAGAAGCACACCAGACTGTGTGATCACAAGGTATCAAAGGGATCAGGTATCAGACACCATCAGAACAAAAAAATCATATCATTGTGAATGAGGGTTCGAGTGCAGAGTGGAGATCCAAACTCCATTTGTAGACCACTGGACATCCCCTTACAGAAAGGTCTCGGGGAGGAGACGAGCCAGTCAGGGTGTGATGTAGCAATGATGAAACATACAACTTTCCTCTAGTTCCTAAATATTTCCTCCCCACACTATCATGATCCAAATTCTACCTTACAAATATGGCTAGACCAGAGGATGTACACTCGTACACATAGGAACTGGAAACACAGGGAATCCAGGACGAATGATCCCTTCAGGACCAGTGGTGAGAATGGCGATACCGGAAGGTGGGTTGGGAAGGGGGAACCGATTACAAGGATCTACGTATAACCTCCTCCCTGGGGGACGGACGACAAAAAGTGGGTGAAGGGAGACTTTGGACAGTGCGAGATTTGACAATATAATAATTTATAAATTATCAAGGGTTCATGAAGGAGGGGGTAGGAGGGGGGAGCGGGGAGGGAGGAGAAAAAATGAGGAGCTGATGCCAGGGCTTAGGTGGAGAGCAAATGTTTTGTGAATGATGAGGGCAATGAATGTACAAATGTGCTTTACACAATTGATGTGTGTATGGATTGTGATAAGAGTTGTATGAGCCCCTAATAAAATGATTTAAAAAAAAGAAAAATAACACAACGTGGCAGTAGATGGTAAATTCCAGTATACAAAGTAACACTTTATATTGATTTTTTGTTTTCTTTTTCACACTGAGTTGAATAGAACTATTTTGAAAAGGAAGCAGATAGAATATATTCTAAATACCCTTGTATAATGTTTAATATAAGCTAACAGTCTCTCCCCGCACAGAGACCCGCAGGTAACCCACGTAAAATTCAGAATT